ACACATTCTTCGTGTTTGCACCGTTAAACGTGGGAAAAATGATTGTCAGCAGATTATGTCCTTAAAAATTAAAGCTGGACAAAAGTCAGTGAAAATAATTTATAATCATTCTCACCATGTAGGCCTATTATTGGTGTCATCTCACTCATATAGTAATTAATAACACACTTGGTTTGTTGGTCCTTCTGCTATGGCCTTGACCAAAGTCATGATAGTAACAGATAAGATCAGTAAGAATCTACCTCTTAGTAAGATAGTAGCTAAAATACTAGATAGATAGATAGATAGATAGATAGAAATCATAAGGTAAAGTGGGATAAAGAGAGCAGCTGAGGGAGAGAGAAAGAAATGGATAGAATAAAAGCTGGCCACATAAATAATCACATCACAAAGCAAGCAGCGGTCACAGAGAAAACCACACAAGGGATTATCTCAGAAAATCCACAACCATAAATACATCCAAATACATGAAGTCAAGAGTGCGTTTGAAAGACACAAATAGCTGAAGCCACAGTCCAACTCACAGCATGAGTAAGAGGAAGGAAAGAGCTGAAGAGAGAAAGAGACGTAGATGTTGATTACAATGTTGGTCCAACACTTCTGAAGGTAGAAAGTCGATACAAGCTTGTATATCACTACAGTGCCTGTTTCTACTTTTTGACAAGAGCGAGGCAGGAAAGTGGGGGTCAGAAACAACAACCAGAGAGACAGAGAGGGACAGGAGAGCTACCAAGATCACAGGTACTACAAACCAATGCTGCGTCTCCTACCTTCATCTGCCAACTCTCCCAAAGCCTGAGAGGAGCTTCCTCTGTCCACAGGGACACAGCTGCCACAGCTGGCCCAGATCCACCTCATGTTCCTGGGCACGACATCCACTAGAATGCCTCATCTCAAAAGAGTGTTACAAAAGAGTTACTGGGTGTAACTCACTCTCCAAATTATGTATCACAGATTTTTGGGATTTTGTTTGATTTAACCTAGCTTTAACAGTCAGTAACTCCTGCTGTGCTGCTAAACATTAAAATTCAAAAAGCTTTGTTTCAAACTGTGTTTGGAGAGATGTGTATAAAATGATGCACAAGATATAAAGTATATTTTCACTTGAAGGAAAGATGCAGCCATAAAAAATATGAAGCCTTGGGTTTGAATATCTAATAATATATATAATATATAAAAGCTGATACAGAGTATATATGATCTTGTTAGACAATGTGGAATAAGATGATTTTTTTAAACTGACATAAGGTGAAAAAGGTGGGTGCTGTATGTTAATGATACTTTGGGGTCAATAATAAATCAACCAGTCAAATTTACCATTTTGTTATTATTTAAAGACTCTACACAGGTGCTCACTAAAACAAGTACCATCAAAGTTACACAGGTAATGTTAGCAGCTCTGTCCTACTCTTTTGGATTTGTTGATTTTTACACTCCAGCAACCCATACCAAAATTGTTATTGGAGAAAGTGCTATGTTTGCCATACACACCAGTAGTCCTCATCATAAAGGCCTTTACTCATAACACAAAAGTGAGTGTAGGCTAAGCAAAGCGGCAAAATAGGGTAGAACGAAATAACTTACATTCTTCCTCATTATGTTTATAATACTAGGACTAACTAGCTCTATGCTACATTACAAGAACAATGCTGTTTCACCAAAGGGTGAAGACACTGACTTTTTCCCCTGGAGCATGCTTTAACCCTCAGTCATGCATGTAGCCATCAAGTGCATATTTTAGACCCCTTTTACAGCATTCTAGTTTAAAACAAGTCATTTGGAAACATCAGCAGGAGACTGTTTTCAATTAACACATAAGGCTAACATTAGCTTAATTAGCTAGTTAGCTACAGCTGGTAAAATCTGCCACTGAATAGCTGACCATGTTGATGGGCGCCAGCTTGAAATGAGAAACCTACTTTATTAACCTCTGTCTGAAATTCAGGATTGTTTCAACCTTTTATTTGATATACAAAAACACAAGGAATTTGTGGGGTAAATCTGCCATTGTAAACTGCATATGTGCTGGTGGGAATGTAATGTTTCACAATGTAACAGTAACTAAGGATAATTTAAAATCACCTGTGTGGGTTTACCATGAGTGTGCAGAGCCTTTATTCTGATGGGTTGTATCTATCAGTGTAGTTGGAATACAGAATAATGAGCACGAATAGCCTTTCATTATCATATCCTGAAGGAATATTCCATGACAATTTGCTCATCTATGTCTTTTTACTCGCTATTGCTACTTGATAAACTGTCAAACTAAATGTCACTCATGCAGTTAAGAAAGTTTATTTGACAGGAAATATAAACACAGTATGCATTTGTGTTTATGTTTCCAAAATCTTGTAAAATTCACTGTGTACACTACTAAAGACCGTGCATGCACTTATTTACCAAAAATACACACATAAACTCACACACACACACACACACACACACACACACACACACACACACACCGCTGCCAGCCATGTAGGCCAGCTCATAATGTGTTCCATCTCAACACGCTTCAATTGCAGTGAATGCTGTGAGGCAGAGACAGAGATATGGAGAGAAAAAAAGAGAGATGCAGCAAAGGACAGAGATAAATATCAGTGGCCCTTGGTATAGATGTATAGATAGAAAGCCTAGAATACACAGAAGCATCAGGGCAGGCACACACAATTGTTTTTTTCAAGTTGCTGTGTTCCAAAGGCAGTAGTTTTAGTAGAGAAACATGACTCTGAGTCTTTAATTTAGGCTCTGCCTCTTTATGCCTCTCTTCCCTCCCTTCCTCTCCTCTTCCCTTCTGCCTTCCTGCCTCATTCCCCTCCACCTCTCTCTCACCCCATCTCTTTTCAGTAACGAGAGGATTAACGAGAGAGGAGCCGATGTCAGCTGAGGATGTGGGGAGAGTGGGAGGCACAGAGGAAAGGGGAGGTGAAGAGGAGAGGAGGGTGAATGAAAGGCGGTATCGAACGCTGACCTGTTTTGGGCTGATAAGCGCAGGCTTCTTTGTGCTGAAGCCACTGGCTTTAATTTGGGGGCCGCAACATTTGGAATTAATTATCACACACACTCCAGCAGTGCTGCGGCTTACTGTGTACATTGCTATTACATCCACTCCAATACAAACTTTATACAGCTTATGTGCTGGAACTTAACGGTTACACAGGAGTTTGTATTGCTGTTATGATAAATTTGCATAAAATACAGCTGCACTCCAATGTTAGTATACAAAGAGCAATGTGGGGTATGCCTTCTGTGAACAACTATTCAGGTGGGCAACAAAGCAACAGCAAGACATAATTTTTCAACACTAAAATTAAGAGGAATAGCTTGTAAAATGTAGTAGCTACAAGTTGAATGCAGTAACCAGGAAAGTAATTCACCATATCTGAAGTCGAGGTGAAAATGACTGTGGGCCATTTGCAGAGATTCGAGTCATCAGATATCTCTTGTCTCACAGGATCGTGTGATCAGTCCTGGATGTTCTTTTAGCTTGCCTGCTAATCAACTGGCTAACTGGCTAAAAAAATGGTGTATGAAAGTGTGTCAACTTTGTCAATTAACAGGGACAGTTATGTACCTGCTTAATTAAATGAAATTGACACAAAAACTGTGAGTATACAATTTATAGTTTCCTTAAAATATGCTAATTAGTGAGCTTTACAGGTGTTGGTAAGTGTTTTTTAACCTTTGGGCAGAGATAAGCTAGGTATTCCCCCATTTCCAGTCTTCATGCTAATTTAAGCTAACCATTTCCTGGTTTTAGTTTCATATTTACCAGACAGGCGTGAGGTTGGTCAGTAGACTTATCCAACCCTCAGCAAGAAAGTGAATGAGCACATTTTATCATAAGAATGTATAGCTGATGCAGACAACATGTGAAACAACCTAGAGAGAAACATTTATCTGGGCTTTTGGTGATAAAATAGTGTGCCATCTTGATTAGTATGTCATTAGTATATCATTCTGTTATAAACAACGGTCATAGTGCCAATGATTGATGATGAATCCAGAGTAGTTTAGTGCCACAACATTTATGTGATATCTGGGCTTGTCTATATAAGGGGGTTAATTGCTGGGGCTGTAGAGTTTTACAATAACATATTTGATGCTCTTTTATTTAACGCAGGGCTGTTTTGGATGTTCTGGTCAAGAGTAGATTAGATATACAATATATGGAAAAGTTGTTTCAAAAGTTTGTGATGACTGTAAATTTTCCCATTCTGACAAATGTAAAGAATTTAAAGGTAATCTTAACACGTTTGACTAACATCATTAAAGTTTTATTCTCACTGGCAGTTTTTCTCCTTCCATTCATGGATTTTGAACCAGAACTAATTCAATGATCACATTCCCACAGGATAATTAGTGTTTTTATCACTGTGCTACTGCTCAGAACCACTGCATCTAGTTCGTATCCACACTTGTAAACCTTACATTGTACTCGCGATAGTAATCGGTGCAAGATACAGTAACCCATATTAAAAGTAAATGTGCAGCTACTAAGAGCAGCAGCAGTGGCGGCTCGACTACAGTGGATTGGGAGCAGCTTTAAAGGCGGTGTGAAGCAGTTGAGTGGCTCAGCAGGGCTGTGTGTATGTAGGCCGTGTTATGCATGTTATTTCCTTGAAGTCATCAGACCTACGCTCCCCCATCAGGGAAAAGGCTCTTATGATAAGTGGCAGCCATGAAATATGCACAGCCTGTCGTAGCCGCCTGCCTCGTTTTGCTTCCTCGTCGCCCCCCTTCCTTCTCTCCACTGTCCCTTCTTCCTACCTCTTCCCCTCTCCTCCCTTTATTGTTGAATTGCTTCCATTTTCGTCTCTTTCATCTGTTTTGCTTTCTCCATTTGCTCAGAAACCTCCCCGTCTGTCACCCTCCATCACTCTAATCTCTATTTCTCCTTACCTCCTTTTCTTCGCTCTCCACCACAGCCACTTTTTTTTAAAGCACATCAAAAACGTACACAGTGAAAATCATATAAACACAACAAACATCCCCTAACACATCTTTTAAATCCTTTATTTTAGGTATGCCTGTTTTTCCTGGAAAACAAAACAAATTTGGCACATGGAAAGCATTTTTTTCTTTTTTCTTCTTTCATTATTTTCACACATAGCGCACAGGACAGTAGCTTGGATCACACTTTTTAAGCACTGCTGACACAGAAAACATGAATCAACCCTAATATGTTAAATGTATATAAATCCTAAGTAATAAAAAGGTTAAACAAAAGCATTTTCATGCAGAGTTCATTTCGCTTCTCCTTCAGCAGGAAGGAATCCTAAAACCAAGAACACAAATCCTGGAGTAAGACTCCTCCTCTTGTCCGTTGCAATACTGACCACATGATGTATAATTAAATGTATATATCAACATTTGACACCGTTTTATACGTGTTTATGGATAAGAATATATAATTATTTGTTACTGTTATAATACAGGAGACACTGACTAATAAATACCAACAATGTAGGAACGACACAGTTAGTGGACACAGATTTAGCTTTACATCGTCAAGTCATAAAAACATTTACTTTCAGTTTCATAATTGTGGACGAAATGTGAAAGCACTAAAGCTGCTCTTCTGTGCTGAAGATTAAGACTAGAGATAACAGACAGGAACTACCTTAACCAGATAGCTAGTTATGACTTTCCCTAAATCAGTGACTTTCCCCCATCCATTAACCCAATCAAAATGTCAAATTACTTCCAGGTGTCAGTGCCACCAAAAAGCATCTTAACACACAATCCATTGATGTGCATTACAAAGATCTTATGTGTGAAAAACTTAAGATGAGGCATCTAAAGGAGAACTTCCTCAGTGTGTGGCTTACCAGTCTGAATTCTTGCCATTCTTCGCTCCCTTTGCTTTTTGCAAACATACCATCGGTGTTTCTCTTTTGAAATAATCGTTATATTCTGATTCGCTATTGATCACCATAGATACATTGATCCCCCATTAACTTCCAGTCGAAGTAGATATTTTAAGATATCAGTTACTATCTTCATGATAATGTCCGTATCAGTAGTCATGCTTGTGGAGACCACAGTGACTGTTGGCATGACAGATAACCGTTTGTTCAAGTGAATTAATGGTATGATACTGTGAGTGTAGTGTTGCCGGAGCACAGAGAGGACGCAAGTGAGGAAAAAGAATATTCACAGTTTTCATACTCTGGTTGAAATTCATTTACATTTTTGAAGCGCTTTGAGATCCAATCATCACTAAGGTGTATGTCACGCAAGAGAGCTAGTAAAAACAAATGAAATGGTCAAAGTTGACATTTCAGATGTGTTGACTGATTCACAACATCAACTCATGCATTGAGTAACATGCAAGGAAACATTCCGTCTTAAACGTTGCCGGTAGCTGCAGGTATACTTTGAGCGGCACAGTGAATTATTTTTTCTCCTGTCTATAGCTAGCTAACGTTAACTAGTAAAGACGAAAAGGCAGCACTTCAGCCTCTTCCACACGTTAGCTGCACTCAAGTGTATTAGGCCCATCTTTCTCTCTGGCCGGGATAAATATGCCTACCAATAAGCCTCATAACCTCAAGGCTTTTTATATGTAAATTAATTACAGTCCTAACCTGAGTCTCCTGATTGCCGGTTCAGTACCAATTCTGCCTTCCTGTCATAACATTAACAACATTATTGCTAGCTAGGGAAAACAAAACATAACACACACACACACACACACTTTCCTGCTTCAGAAGGGCTAGCCTTAACCTTTCTCCACATTTGCTGCTGCTGTAGTTAAGATGGAAATTCTTATGGCGCACGCAGATGGCTACTTGAAAAACACCAATCACAGTGAGTTGAGTCTCAATTCCTTTAACCAAAAAACTAGACCAGAAAAGTAGAGCTGCACGATATATTGGTCTGCTTATCGGTTTAAAATCCAGTTAGTGGTCTTTTTTCTACCACAGAAGCTTTTCTCAGGCCCTAGGAACTTTATGAAATGCACAAGTATTCCACCTGAAAGCAGGAAACTGGGTTCAATTTAAATTTCCAGGACATAAATCCTCACCTGCAAAACATCCCTGGTACTTGTACTTTCCAGGAACTATCGAGGTGGAATTTGCAGCCCTGAACGTCAATGCTGATTCAACCACAAGGTTTAAGACTACACCAACTTATGTACAGCTTTCATTAAGACTCACAGTAAGTACTAATTGTCTCTTGTGTCACTATTCTCTTGTTGACATTTACTGAAACGTATTGTTATTTTCTCATTGTTTCAATTTCAATATGTAAGCATCAACATGCATTCCTCCAGGAAAACTTTTTTCTTCTCTATTTCCATCTTTTCCCTTCTTCCATTAGAGGAGCTGCTAGTTGGAAGTAAAGTGAACCATACCAATACTGCTTCAAACGGGGGTGTGCAGGCATTCTCCATACAAACAAATGTTAACGACGGGCAGGCAAGGAGCTGGGAAGACAGATACGGGCAAGCATTTCAAATATGCAAGCGCCAATGTGCGTTTTCATACACAGTACTCGTTCACACACATATAAATCATACACGTGCACGTAATGTACATACATACGCTGTGAACAAACGCCCAGGTATCAGAATCATGCTTTTGTAAAACACAAACCGCTAGTCTCTTTCATTGCTTAAATACAGAAAATCAAGAGTATAGGAAGTAGTATTATCTATCTATATTTAACTGACTCAAAGCTAAAGACTACATTCCCCAACAGCATTTTACCATCATGATCCCAGCGATGAACAGCAAATAAGACACATAGAAAATCTGATATTTGTGGTCTTTTGTGGCACAAATCTGATCTTCCGCTGTCTCATTGGGTAAAGTCAAACTCTGTTTTTTTTAATACATATTTTGAAAACCAAGAAGAATAGCCTCACAATGGCAGCAGAGGGGTGCAGGGATCAGGTGCTAAAATGCTGCTGTCCAGGGCTATCATATAGCCCTATATATTATTGATATAGAAACTCATGCACAAGTATGTGAAGCATTCCAGTTTTAGCTAAGGATAAACATACAGACACTATTATTATCATACACTGAATAAAAAGCACACCAGAATTACGGGCCGAACTCAGAATGCGCTGGAATAGTCGAGGAATGAGTAAAAGAAAAGTTAGATCACAATTTCCACCAAAAAAAGTCATAACATGAAACGCTGTAGATGTGGATTTTGCAGTTGTATTTGTGTGTTCTGGGGGAATTTTCAGTATACTGTAGTTAGGTTGTAAATGTACTGCATTTGTGTCAGTTAATGCATTACTAGTTAGTAACTCATCAACAGTCACATTTTTGTCCCTCATGTTTGATCTATTAAATGGTCACCATTAATTTCTAATCATCCTTAAGTCTGATGATGTCTGGTAAATTAAACAAAAACACTTTGTTCACACTGTGAGCAACACAAGTTCAAAATAATCCCAAATGTGAAATGAGTCAGATTCATCAAGCTTGTGATGAATCAATGTTCAGAGCTTGGGAAAAGTCAAAGGTTGATTTCTTACTAGTAATATTTTGATGACGTAGAAGCACGGGACAATACAGGATTTGTTTATATTCAATCGAATGATCTAAATGTCTCACTTTAACTGACTAGCATGCATGCATTCAGGCCATTTGTCTTTTTTACTGCACATTAATCATCAGAAGATCACGACACATCGTACAGGTTGCAGCAGTGTGAACAACAAGTGTGTGTCTATGTGTTTAAAGCTTACTCTGTATGTCCGTGTATCAGTTTAAGTTGTAGATCATGTGACAGCACAAATCATTTCCAGGATATTTTACGTTGGTGTGTGTGTGCGTGTGTGTATATGTTCCAGGGTATGCAGGGTTGATACTGGGTAAAATGATTATGTATATGTTTGTGTGTGTGTGATTCCATGTGTCCGTGCATGAGCCGTAATCAAGCCTGCTCGGCGGCAGAGGGGGTAGCAGCATTTCCTGGGAACTCTGGGTTGATAAAGGAGAATCCCTGGAACTCATCCTGGTCCAGGTTCTGAATCACTTCTTCATCGGGCGGGGTCAGCACCGGCGGGTGGCGTGTGAAAAAACGGTCAAAGTTCTCGGCATCCCGTCCACACTGTTGAGGAGGGTGGGGAGTACAAGGGGGAGGGTGGATTGGGAAGGGGAGGAGTGGGAATGGAGAGGAATGGATGGATTGGGGTGGGGTGGGGGGTAGAGGAAAACAAAAGAAGGGGAATGGTGGGTTGAACCAGGGTGTGAGATGACATTACTTGAACATGGTTTCAAACATTAGAACAAGGTGCCAGTACTTGGGGTGTGCTTGATTCAACTCTCCACCGGCTACAAGGTAATTTCTCATTTCCTTCAAAGTGATACAAAAATACCACACTCAGGAGAGGATAAATTAAACACACTTCCAGTATATGTTTTCCCTTTTCAAATATTTGAAACATATTCAACTCCAGTTTTAAACAGAACAAGGTCACTGAAGTCTCAAACGTTCTGTGGCAGTGCACTACACTGACAATGCATGGAGCTGGAACTTTTTGGTACACTCAAAAAGCATCCTACCATGGCTGTAAGTAAATAGCCAAAAACAGTTTCCCTTGATATTTCATCTAGATTCTTTGGTTGTAACACTCAGATTTAATTGGAATTCCTAAATAGTCGTACAAGGAAGGGCTCAAAGCCATGAGATGATTATAGTGTAATTGTGGGTTAATTGTCAGTTAATTATATGCTGCAGCTGTGGAGACCTGCTGAGATATGATAAACTGAATCAGACAATCAGCTAGTATGCAAAAGAGCACTGGGAATAACTCAAAATCTCTTTAGATATTTGCTCGGAAGCTGCACAATTTGAGAAACGGATTTCATTGACTCTCAAGATATTCTGCATGTGACGATGAAATGTCATCATAATGAAATTACATCGACTAATTGAAAATGTTGACACCTACTCTTGCTAGGAGACATTTAGCACTAGAAGAAGATTAACTATCACTATCCAATCAAACTCTTGGCTATCTTGAGTGCTTACAAAGAAGTGACAGATGTGAGAATAAAATCATCTCAAAGAGTATTGTGCAATTCACATTAGGTACAATTTGTTTTTGTCAAGAAGCAATTTGGAGAAATAAAAGAAGTAATTGTTAATTTTCAGTGTGCTTCATATCCTCCTTCTGACCACTGGGAACACAAAAAGAGCTTATATACCCGAGAGATGTGCGTCCATCTAAGTACATAAAACAAGTTATTAACCTGAGAACTATATTTTCCCTGACAGTATGCCTCACGGGGACTTTGGGCCGAGCTATTCTCCCCCCCCATCTCCATCACTTCGCTGAGCTTTAATTAACACAACAAGGATTGAGTGTTCTCCGACAACATCACCCAGAGGAAAACTACAAACTCATTAAATCTCTGTAACGCGGAAAACCAAATGAAACTAAGCCAGACTGTTTATAGTTTGGGGAAATATGTGAAATGAGAAATGCACCAGGGTCAGATAGTACTTTCAGCTAATTACTCACGTTTGTTTTAACCTGTTTGTGGAACCAGATGGGAAGATTTTTGCCACATAGGGAAATGAAACAAGTGCCACAAAGTTGAGAAGTATCAACTCAGTACACAACACCTTAGTCAAGAGTTGGCAGGTGATGTGGTAAGCATCTCCTATATCATACTCAAATCAAAGGTAAATACTTTTTAATACCAAGGATGTAACTGGTATCTGGTTTTGCTGAAATGCAGAAATTGCATTTGGGCCAAATAACGAGCCTTGCAGATTCCAGCACACAAGAAAGGGTAATATGTTTCTGTAAGATTTATACAGCTTGGTTTTGAAATAGTTTTAAATGAATGCTTTTATACTGTGAGGTTTCTGTAGTGCACTGCAGGACAGGTTTTCATTTGAGACTGAGCCCCAGAGCATGCAAATAAACAGAAACAAACATGAGAAAATTGCGAACACAGAGAGAAGGACAAATAAAAATGTGAGGATGAGAGGACAGATGGGTTGATGCATGGCAGCAGTGAACAGATGGATGGATTGGTGGAAGGCTGGATGGATGGAGTCTTTAGGTAGAAGGGTGGATAAATGGATTGACAAAACATTGATTGATGGACCGACAGATGAACAATAACAACTTAAGACAATAGCTGCAGATGAAAGTCCACGGTGGTGACATGACCATTCTTTCTGTTGGATGAATCAATAAACCGACCAGTCCGTCAACCAGTCTGTTCGCTGGTCAGTCACACTTTCAAAAGCTCATCATGATCAACCATCAAACAGACTACAAAATGCACTCACAGTGTGTGAAACCACAAGCAGACCATAATCACAAACAGTTAGGAAACTAACTTCTGACCAAAGTGAGCCTGCTGCTTCGACGAGTGATATGGGCTTTGAAAGCCTCAAACATCCTTCATAAACAATCATCTGCACACCACTTGGAAGAAAAATGGTTTGAAGTGGTGTTAGTCAGAAATATAGGGAGCCCCTCTTCAAAACATATATCAATACACACATAGCTCAAATAGGTCTGATAGCATAGCACCCAAAAAAGATCAAACCACCTTCAGATGTTAAAATCAACACTAGGCTTTTATGCAGGACAAACACACAGTGGTTCTTCAAAACATCAGAACCTTCATTTGTTCTCAGAAGGACGAAGAAAGACGGAAAGAGAGAGACGGCAAGCGACAGCGCAGAGAGGTAAAAGACGATAGATGTCGAGAGACGAGATCAAACGGCAAGAAGAGACCGATACAAAAGGAGAGAAGAGAGGAGAAGAGATCAGGCAAACATATGTTGGCATTCACATCAGAGGACTCTGCAGAAACACACCTCGGTGTTAAAGAAGTCCAGGTCCTAATGGTGACCTCTATCAGCCACACATGTGAAAATATAGATTGTATATACAGACACGCAAACACAGGAGCATGCATCCACATTTGCAGCATTACCGATCCAGCTTAGAACACACACACACTCACACACCCACCCGCACGCACGCACACACACGCACACACACACAAAACCCCAGCGGGCCAAGACAGCTGCATAAAAAGCTCAACTCAGAAAAACTCTTCAGCAGCAGTGTGGCCTAAGGCTGTGTCTCAGTGTGAGATGACATCATTCTGACTCTGGTTATGATCAAACTAATTTTGTCATGGAAAATAACAAAAGCACAGCGAAGAAAAACACAAACGCAAAGTTGTTTCAGGTCACGTTTGATGACACAGTTGACGTAAACGTACTGCCTTGAGGTTTATTCTAAACTCAATCTAACCCCGATGAAGACAGAAACCACTTCAGCTCATGCAGAATGCAACTGCTCCAAACTGGGGACAGCGGACTTGTGTTTTAGTTCAACAAGTAAATCCAATCAAACAAATATAAATTCAAAACTTGTCCCCGAAATCTAAAAATTGTCTCCCCCATAATCATTACTGCTGTCACCAATGTTGTCTTCATCAGTCTTTATCTGTCTGCCACCGTCATTGCCAATGTCTTCACAGTATTCAGTGTCTTCCTCATCCAACCTGCACTCATCAGCGCACCTTTCTCATCATCATCATTACCATCATCATCATCATCATCATCATCATCACAGTCACCATTATCACCATTTCTAGTATTATCATCACCACCACGCATCATCATCATCATCATCATCATCCTTATCATCATCATTATCATTTCCTGACTTACCTGTGTGCGTTGACCCATACATTGGAGGGAAAAGAGACAGAAACATCAACACTGGAAGTGCAAAGATGAGGAAGATAACAAAAACAGAAGAAAGATAGGTGTAGATTGAAAATAGAGGAAGTTAGAGTGAAGGAAGGGAGTGAAATGTGTTCTGCAACCACAACTAAACGTCGTTCTAAGGAACGTCTTTACCAGAAATTAAACTCCTGATCTCTGCTGTGGTGGGAGACTAGTTAGCCCCTTGTGCCACTCATGTGAATTTCCTTATTTGGGGTCAAGTCGGGTCCAGTGGGCTCACACTTACAGCTCTGGGTTTGAATGGTGGCTGCACTTCCTTGTTCTCCAGTTTCTCCCAGTCCATGTAGCGGAAGAAACTGTGATCCCTGATGTCTCTCTCCCCCTCCGGACCACAGCCCAGTCGTTTCGCTGGATGCTTCGTCATCAACTGGACAGATGGAGAAGAAAGAGAATTACTGCACGTCTCTTGCTTTTTTCTTCCATGGATCTAACCTTTCCTGTCTCATGCCTCATGTGCTTTTGTCCATTTACACCTATATTCTTATGTCTATTCTTCATTGTTGATTTCAACAAGTTTCTCAAATCCATTTCCATCTCCTCCTTTATTTTACTGCCTCCATCTTCCTTTTACTATCTCCACCTTCCACCCTTATCTGGAAACTAATATCTATCCACCTATCTTGCCAACAGCCTCAATAGTCTCACATATCCAAGGTGGGCAGCCATGCTAGTAGCTCTGTGAGGTAGTACTTAGGCACAGCAGGGCTTTGAGCTAAATTTTAAAATCAGCATGCTGACATGCTCACAATGATAATGCTAACGTGCTGATGTTTTATAAAAGTTAAGGGATCAAAAAAGCTACTGCACATCATCCCGAAGAGGACCCGAAAAGTTGTTAAGATTTTTCCTTTCATACCAAAGCACTGGACCGACCATCAAAGGTGCAAAAAGGTGCTAAAAAGTGAAATAAGATGATTGTTTTCTGAAGGAAACATGTGAGCATCATTTCAGGATGTATTTTCAAGTCAAGTCTCAATTTTTAATACAAATGGTTAGAGATAGTGGGCAAAATGCCATTAATTATTACATTTTAATGATGTTTTATGTCGTGACTTCGTCACATTTACATAAACTAAGTTGTAGGCATAATCCTAATCTACAAGACAGGTCTGTATCTGATCTACACTCAACAGTGTGCTGCTGTGATGCCCTAAATTTTCCCTCAGGCATCATTAAAGTTTCATTTAATTTATTCCTGTCTCATTTCCTCAGTGTTTTTGTCTATGATTCTTTCTCATTCATCTCTGTCTAATAATAAACGTTATTACTATTACTATTTTTTCTTTGTCTACATTTTCTCCAATCCATCCATCAATTCTACTACTACAACTACAATTACTTCTATCATTTATATGCCTCTCCCTGGGGACCAAATATTAGCCACCAAACCAGCGCCTGCAGATAAATGAATAACTGTTTTCCTCTTTTACCACAGCAGCTCTTTCACAGGCATAATTAAGGACCATTTTGTCTGTCCAAACAAAACCTTAAGAATGGCATCAAGGCTAGTGACGTCACTGTGTGTGTGTGTGTGTGTGTGTGTGTAGGTGGTTTGCGCCCCCCTCAGGAGTAGCAGTCATAACTCATTACATTAGAACTAAAATAACATTTTCCACGGGTCAGTCAACCTTACACTGCACACACACGTGTGTACACGTAAACACACTGACTGCTCAAATAGTCACTTACTCATCCATACACACACACACACACACACACACACACACAGACAGAGTTAAGAATATTTTATATACAACAGTGTAATCGTTTGATTGGAATTTTTTCCACAGAAGCAACAATAATCTCTCTCTCTCTCTCTCTCTGTATTCCTCGTTCTCTCTCTGCCTCTAACCTCTCTCTTCTGTCTACGTTGATGTCTTTCTTCCTCTTTTTGCTGTTACTATGGCCTAAAAGACTCGATGTTCCTTACTGATTGACTGTCTGACACACATTGTTGAAATATGCATGTGCAACAGTTTCAAGGTGACCCAGTGGAGCACACTTAAAACCACACCTGTACAGTAGATTTGGCATCTTTTAAGACCCCTTTTAGCATCTTTATTTTACAAGAGTCTAGCGACAAATCTGGTGGCTTTCTGGGGCAGACAGTACAGTTACAGCAGCTACTTTCCTTTAAAGAGACTCTTGATGAATCTGCTTTCATCCTCACTGTGACTCTCTGTGTTCACTGAGTGAGGGAGAACAGCACATTCGGTAAGACCACGAAGCAGCCAGACTGAAAAAGGTCACTGATTGCAGGAAATAATGGCATTTGTGAAAAAACAGCATGGTTTACTGGTTTCAGTCCCTGAGCACTAACAGGCTGCACTATCTGGCAAAACTGGGCTTACCTAGTTCCTATACAATCATATTATTTCTCTTACTTCTCTTCTTCTCTTATCTTTTACTTTCTGGGCTTGATTTCATGCAGGTTGGCAGAAGAACAAACACAGTATAATGTCATTGTTTCAATGACGGGTAATTTCATCATTTTCAAAATGACTAAACAGGCGCCAGGACATAAAAATGCCCTTGTGCTATGTATTAAGTTTGTGGCTACAAAGTTAGCTATTTGCTTAGGTGGAGAGTTGAAGCTTGAGTTTTTGTGTTTATGCAATATCATTTGTTTGTAGACTGTATAAAGCCCTACCCTTAAGTTAATTAAACACTTGCAGCAATTATAGAACAGCGGAAATACTGTAATTTATTTGTGTTTCAATTGCAGTCTCTAATTTGTTGCCTATGAATGTTTGAGGACATATTTGCACAATGACTCTGCAGTACAGTCAGGTGATGTTGAACACATGTACCTAAAACTACAGAATAAACTGTAGTAGCAGCTTAGGCGCATGTGTGTGTGTGTGGCCGATTGCTGGCTATGAAATATGTATGCTGGTCAGGGTGGAAGCAGGGAAGTGGAAATGTCTCTGATCACGCCCTTTCCACACGCGTACCTCACACACAAACCACAAGCCTGCCCACTGTAAATTAACCCAGTACTGTACATCATGTTGGCAGGAATTATCTCTTTCTACTATTTACACTAAAGGAAATGTGCATCTCAAAACATAGATGACTGGTGAAAGGATGACTTTATACCATGTTGAAAGTTTTGCTGCAGTTACAGCGCAGCTCAATTTCAGAGAGCTTTTAGTGACCTAAAACATCTATGGAAAAGATCTTAAAATGCGTTGATGTCAATCATTCAAAACCAAACAACTAGGTCTCCTAATTACAACACAGTTAATACTAATAAGAGGTTAGATGTTTCTAGTGTCACATTTAAACTGTCGTGCACAAAACTATTTTTTCAGTATTGGCCAAAGTCAAATGACAATTTGAAATTTTGTTTCACAATGACATTGAATAATTGGAAGATCATGAGGCAGGGAGTAGAGTGTCTGTATTTCGATTTATCTCATCTTGTCAGAATTGTTCTTCTGATCCTCACACAGGATATCCATGAATTCAGTCTACAACACATACTCTTTATTGCACTAACTTAAAACAGCTGCTGTTTGGAGGACAACAGGCTATTTAAGCTGAAGTTTCGACGCAACACCATCATGTTCACGGACTGAAACATGATGATTAGTTTTTCTCTTTCAAAATGGAAATATCTTGTAGCATCAGAAAAGGAAAGCTTCACATAGTCTTCACACACACACACACACACACACACACACACACACACACACACACACACACACACACATATTAAGTTAACCCAGGCAGTGCTGGCAGGGGGCAGTGGGAGCTGTGGGGGTGGCCAGCTTTAATGCTCCACTGAAGGTCCACTGTTGTAGCACTACAAACCAGTAATCATCACTAATGCATAACACAGTCTGTGTGCGTGTGTGTGTGTGTGTGTGTGTATATCTCACTGAACATATTTGTCATCAATTTGCCTATAAATGCCTTTACCTTTAAATTCAGTGGGAGGATGTATGACTGAAGTCACGTGTGGCTTAATTAAAGCTTGCACTATATGTTGATGTTATGCATACGTGTGTGTGTGCTTATTTATTGGTAAGGATGGAGCTTAAGAAACAATTATGAGAATACAAATAAGCTCTAAAGCAGAGCTCGGTTAGGGATCCTTGATGCCGAATAAATCACTAGATAGAGATGACCTGCTCTTTGTAAAAGGACCGAATGTGTAACTAAACATGCCATACATCCTTATGTTCGTGTGTGTGTAGTTTGTCGTAGTCAGTGAAGCATGGAGTTAGGAGATGAGACAGAGAGATGGGGGTTTGATAGAGAGAACCCACTCCGTTTATTGCAGTAATCAGCTCACACACAAACACACACACCTACACACACACAACCAGTCCAGTTGGGAAGTGTCCGGGCATCATTTGGTACTGGTACTTCTCTGAAGAGGAGTTTCCACAGTCAACTGGGCACACTGCACAAGCTTAGGCTATTAGAGAAGTGCAATGTGTGTGTGTGTGTGAAAGAGAGAGAGAGAAAGAGGGAGAGAGAGTGTGTCTGTGTGTGTGTGAGAGATAGAGAAGATGCACAGTGAAAAAAGCGAACCGGCGGTTTAACAATGCACACTGCAGAGAGAAGGACGGGAAAGTAGAGCGTTATGACAGAGGGGGAGAGAGAGATAGATGGAAGCAGGACAGATAGTGAGAGCAGACAATGTTGTTTCACTCCAAATAAATGTTCCCCCACAATGGCTTTAATTATGCAGATAATTTTTATGACCCTCTCTGCCTCCTTCTCTTCCTCTGTTCACCTCCTCCATCTTTTTGTTCCTGCTTCCTTTCCTCAAACAAAATTAATACCCTCCCAAGTATCTCTTCTGTGTGTGTGGAAGACAGAAAGAGTGTGTCGAGGAGAGAGGGAGCCAGACAGAAAGAAAGAAAGAGTGAGATTTTGTGAGGAGGAAGAAAGGTTGAGCTTGCGAGACAGACACTGTGAGTGTGTGTGTGTGTGTGTGTGTGTGTGTGTGTACACTCACCCCTTTACAGATAGCGACAGCCTCCTTGGACATTGACTTCGGATAGGAGACGTGATGCTCCATAATGGACTGAAATAACTCATCCTCATCTTCACCGTCAAATGGAGGCTGGAGAGGAGAGGAAGAAGGAGTAGAGGATAGAAAAGGAAAGGAGAGCAGGACAGAAGAGAAGAGAGGAGAAAAGAAGAGAACAAGACAGGAGAGGAGGAGAGGAGACCATAAAAGAGGGGGAGAAGCAGAGGGCAGGACAGGACAAATATATGATATTTAAATTGAATCATTAAAAGCTTTTATGTCTGAACTAATAATGAAAATAAAGCAGGCCTGTAACGCTCACACAATATCCACCCCAAATGACATATCCAGGATTTGAAAATGTCACATCTATTCTAACAATTATTAATGCCATGAGAGAAAAACTCATCAAGGGATTTAATTTAATAGCTAACCTTTTATTACACAATGTCAAAGTTTGTTTTGTCACATTCAGTCATGAATACAAATTGTCTTGAGAGGTGTCAAGCAGTGCTTCCCTCTTGTTCCCTTTGTCTCCACCGTTGTTCTCCCTCTCCTTATGTTCCTGTCAGTCTTCTGTCTGTTTCCCTGTTGGTCTGTGTGTGGTGGTGTGTCTGTCTGGGCATGCCGATCCTCTCCTGCTCTTGCTGCTGATTGGCTCTTACACACCTGTTACCCATGCGGCAATCAGGATCCGGCTCTGCAGTCAGTTTGTCTATGTGGTACAGCGCTACGGCTAACTTCTAGTACTGATATTCCTCTAGTTTTCTACGTGTGATCTTGTGACTAATTCCGTGTTTCTTTGTGTCCAGATTCCCCAGCCTCGCTGTGCACTAATTCACTGTTTATTCTGTCTACCACTGCTAACCCTTGCTTGCAATTGTCTACCGACACTGCTTACATAGGATAACCTCACCTCAAATTTTACTAGCATATTTGTGCTGTCTCAACTTTTTTTTTAATTTCTTTTTTTTCACCAAGTTGAAATACTCTATTTATAAAAGTTAACACACATGGGCATTGAAACAGACACAGACTAACCTGTCCAGCCAGCATCTCATAGAGCAATACTCCGAAGGCCCACCAGTCCACAGATTTCCCATAAGGTTGGTAGGCTATGATCTGAAATATAAGAAATATCGGACAACCCATTAAAAAGAGCAGTGACAGTGAATCCTCCACATGCTTAAAGGATAGCTTAAAGGATATTGTAGCTACTAATAGCAGCTACATATTTATTGTAAAGACATTAGAGTGGTATCAATCTTCTCACCTAACTCCTGGCATGAAATAAGTATATTTCCTGTGTTGTTTGTGTATTGTCGATCACTGTGTACTACATAATGCACGCTTTATATGTAAATATAGACTTTAGACTATGCTATACAATGACAGACCAGATCAGTACACACTCCGGCCAGTTCATTGAAGCCTATTAACACAGGCCAGAGACAAAGACCAGGGCACATGCACTGCAGGCCTACCCACCACCACTCACACCTCACACACACTCTACCTCAGGAGCTATGTAGTCTGGTGTTCCGCAGAAGGTCTTTGTGGTGACTCCATCAGTCATATTTTCTTTACACATGCCAAAATCTGCTATCTTAATGTGACCCTCACAGTCCAGCATCACATTGTCCAGCTTCAGGTCTCTACAGGAGAGAACGAAACAACATTAAAGTTGAACACCCAACATGGACCACAGAGGCTCATCATCTAAAATTTTGCTTTTTTACCCTTAAGTTTTCTTCTCCTCTCCAATCTCCCTTATTCTCTTCAGTGGGAGTTTAATAGGGAACTGCTTAATCTAAGAGGTGGAGCTAAAGCGACACCAAGCCAGATGACAGATGTGATTGTAATTTGCATTTGGGGGGATTTATGGGGGTTTATTCTCGGCATGATATTATGAACAGCAGAAACCAGTTAATTGTAGTTGAAGTCTAATGGTCAAAATCTACTTGTTGTCTGAAATGTTCAGTGGCTAATAGGGGGTGAGTCAGGTAGTCAGAAAACCTGATTGCCAAGCCCTGTCTGAATACTGTAAGTGTTACAGTTACTTAGCAAGTAGCAAGTGGTTCAAGTTTTTTCATAAAACTTGAACCACTTGCTACTTGCTAAGCTAGTACATCTGTCTGTTACTCTGAAGTAGTGCTATGGTTGTTTATAGTTTTAAATCGCAGATTGTGCTGAAATAATCCTTCGTAAAGTCCTATGAATTTTTTACAAATTTGTTACAAAGTACCTGTTTGTCAAACTTGTATCATTAAAGGTATAGAAATGTTTTTGGGCTGTCATTTTAAACCAAAACAGTGTCTACTATCACCAAGAAAATACATCCTTTAATACATTGAGAATAAATAAGTAAATATTGTTATCATATCATACTGTAGGTTATATTTAAGTTTCTGCTGCCGCCATCTGTACCACAGTATATCACTGTGGGGTCAGGGTTAGGGTCACTGAGAGTGTGGAAGAGAACAAATAATTGCGAGAAAGACGGTTATCGCATTAAAATAAACCTGGGGTGGCGTGACAAATTACTATATCACAATATATTATTGTGATATATGATCTGCTTTTTTCATGATAAACTTGCCTTTGATTCAGATTAAATTGTCTTGTGTGTGTACGTGGAGGTGGCACCACTCATTTCTACATAAAACAGAGTAAGACTGAGACTGAGTCTGATCTTAGCTTTACATGGTTTGGTGTAAATATTATTTATTTAGTATGTTGTGTAGCGGTTACCTGTAGATGATGCCCTTTAGATGTAGGAAGAACAGACCAATGGCTATCTCCGCAGCATAGAATCTACTCACACACAAACACAAACAGCAACAGTAATTAGAAAGAGGCTGAGAGAATGAACAGAAGGACAACAGGGGGATAATTTGTGTATATGTGTGTGTGTGTCTGTATGTGTCTACATAAAGGTCAGTGCTGTCTCTTTAAGGCCAGAGAGCAGCTGATAAGATCAACAGGAGGAGTCTGGAGCACGCAGTCAACTATGTTTGCGTGTGTGTTTGCGTGGGGGTGCCCAATCAGTGGATGTTTGTAAAGTGCACCTAAAAGATGCCAAGAGGCATTCTGAGAGTGTAGACAGCTGTGCAAAATACGCAGAGCCTGTTTGGAGCTTGCTGGATGTTTTTTTCTGTGATCAGAATGACGACCGGTGGGGCGTCGCTGCTACAGGAAGCTAGCACGGCTTTGGTTGCAAAACATAAATACACAGGAGTGTAAAACACGAAAGACAAGACACTGAGACAGAAGTTCAAGGCTTCATCATCATCCACGGAGCAGAACATCCTGACTATTGTCTAATAAATAAATGAAACAGAGTAGAACAAGTTGATGGCCTTAGATAAATGAGTTCCTCACCCTATTCGACTTGCCCTTCAGCAGTCTAAACCTTCTGCCAGAGGGAAGAAACTTTAATTCCCTATAAAGCAGATGAAGGGCAAACTCCTCCACGGCTCTCGCTTTCCCGACAGCCCGCTTGTCAAATATGTCAGCCCGCTGGTTTGACTTGACACCAGTGATCTCGCCAGCCACCTTAATTATATTCTGCAGTTTTGGAGGTATTCTACCACACACTGAAAACTCGCAGGATTACTTTCATTTCTTTGAAGTTCTTCAGAGCAGCAACGTGCATCGGGGCGAACAACATATTTCACCCCAGGCTCTGCTAAAATTGCTCACTCATCACCTGAGCATGTCAAACTGTGGATGGCTTATTCAATATGATTTTTTAAAGTATTACCAAAGTGTGACACACCTATAAACACAGGATTAAGGTTTTGTGTTAGGATGGCATAAGAATGTACAGTATATAGCCTTTAGTCTACAAAAGCTTTCTATGTGTGTGTGTGGGTGTCTGTACTCACACAGCATGGGGTTCTTTGAACTTGCCGACCTGCTGAATCTGATACATGAGATCTCCTCCGTTTATGTACTCCATGACAAAATACAAACGGTCCTGTTGAGAGATGGTGGGGCAGACAGAGAGAGGGAGGTCAAAAAGTACATGCTCATAAAAAGCAGGCCAGAGGTCACAGAGAAGCAGGATGATAGTGAGAAAAAGAGAGTATGATACTGTAGAGAGAAAAGGATTGTTCAGAGATAGATAGACAATGATGGGTCAAATGAGAGAAGATTAAAGAAGAGATACAGAAAAGACTGACAGAGGCAGTGAAATTGGAGGGATAAAAGATGAAGAGGGAAAGAGGAAGAAGACAGTCAGAAAGAGGAGATTGGGTTGTTGTCTGTGCGTCCAATCAGTGTTCAACTGCCTGAACACAGCAACATCAATTTCAGAGCTAATTCTTCTCCATTATCTGCAAAAATTGCCAATAAGGTACAGTATGTGAGGGGAGTGTGGAGGTTTTTGGTGTGTGGCCATGTGTGTGCTGGGATAAAATATTGTGGAGTTGTGTTGTGTGTTACGGCGTTTAACATGTGTTTGTTCGCGTGCACAGCTTGTTAAGTCTCATGAGCAGTTGTTTATTGTGCGCAAAATGTCCTCTGTGTATGTGTGTCTGCAGTGTATGTGTGATGACAATGTATTTGTGTGTGCGCTACACACCATATACAGTATGTATGCGTGCATGTATGCATGTTATAATTGCCTTTCTGTGTGTGTGTGTTACAACTGCCTGCTAAGTCCCATACGTACGAAAGCCCTCCTTCTGGACAGAGAATTATTGCTGAGGAGGACTAACACACTCACTTCTGGTTTGTGTGTGTGTGTAGGCCAGGTCAACTTAATTTGTCTAGCCTTTAACCACAGCCTCAAATGGATTCAAACCACATTATTTTCATTAATCAATGAAAACATGTACAAACGAGTGTGTTTATGCAGGATGTGAATGCAAATGACATGTACTCAGTGTTAAGTATGAAACCAGCGAGCTATATTTACCCCTCTGTTGACTCATCTTTAGTGTAATATGGATTATACGTCAGAAGATGAGCATGAATCAAATATGAATCCGGCCTGTGTATTCCAGCTGTGAGCTGGTGACAGCAGGCAGGGTGGCTGCTGTTAAGACCACAGCGCTCATCAACAGTGCGGCTGTGCCGTTCAGCAGGATGCCGCACCGTGGCTCCCTTCTGATCAAATATTATGTGAAGGTGTAGGAGCCAAGAAGGGTGTCTTTAGCCACTGTATGTGTGTGTGTGTGTGTGTGTGTGTGTGTGTGTGTGTGTGTGCTACGAACAAACAAACATTTTTTTGCCATTAAACAGACATTCATAGAGTCTAAGGAGTCAATAACAACAACAAATAAAATTAAAGAGAAAACATAATTGTAAATAAATAATAAATAATCATCTGTATTTGTCTTCTACCTGCCGCATTTTGTGAAATTGTGTCTAGAAAACTGTATATAGCAATACTTTGAACGGTTTCCTGCCCTGCCATTCATTTTTACTTTATCATTGGATGATATTGAGCAAGTTTGGTTGAACTGTGAACATGTAGGCAGGTGTGATAATATATAGCAGGGAGATAAAGTACACACTACTCCAACCCCAAATACACAATTATACTATGTGTTTGTTTATTAATGATTCAACTGTTTGATCATTTTGGAGGCTGATGTTTGTGGTGCTGTTGAGCTGTTGAACTTACATTATACAGAGAGGTTTCATTTAATGCTTACCTTCACAAGAATTAGTAGATTGATACCATTCTCATAACTGTCCATTAAATATTAAGAAACAGCCACCAGCTGTTTAGCTTAGCATAGCATGAAGACTGAAACAGGTGGAAACAGCTAGCCTGGCTCTATCCAAAGATAACAAAACCTGCCTACAAGCTCAGAAATGAACATGTTACTGGATGTCGTGTTTGTTTAATCCACACAAAAAACAAGTAAAGCAAGTTGCAGTTTTACTGAGGGTTATGTGCCAGACTATTTCTTTTTTAAGTCTTGTCATCAGAGTGAAGTTGAAGTCATTGCTCCTCGCGAAAAACTAGTGCAACCTCTCGTAGAACCACAAAATGTTGTTTTTATACTTCAGTTTTTGTACAGATTAATCAAACAGGATATAATTTGTCAATTATTGAGCTTTAGAGGTGCTCGTGGGTGGATTTCATTACCTTCCGATAGAGCCAGGCTAGCTGTTTCTCCCTGTTTCCAGTCTTTCTAAGCTTGACTAAGCATTTGCAGGCCTTATACATAATGGACAGGTAATAATTAATATCAACTTATTCTTGGCAAGAAAGTAAATTGATGTATTTCCCAAAATGTCGAACAGTTGCTGAAAAAAGTGATCAGACTACTGTTTTTTTTTATAAAGGTATGAAAATGTTTAATATTTTGTCATACCATGCTCTGGAAGGTGGAGTGCAGCTGTGTTAAAAATGGGGGCTTGCCAGCCAATGCTAACACTCTCTTCTCCACCATGGTGCATTCCACATCATCATCCTGGATCACAACGTCCTTCTTCAGGATCTTTACAGCATACAGTTCCTCAGTCCCTTTTCGTTCTGCCAGCATTACCTAAAGAAAGGGGAAGAGAGGAGAGATGAGAGGATGGATGGGAAATACAAGGAAGATAAATTCATCAATATTCAAAATCTTTATGGTACACAGCTCCTGTCATGCCTTTCTACTAACATCGCCAAGAAGGCTGCAGGGAAGAAAAGAAAGAAAGAGGGTGAGGAAGGGAGGGATGCAGAGAAAGCAGGAAGGAGAGGACGTCCTGTAAAGGGCAGGGATAAAGGAGTGGCGTGATAAAAGAAAGCTTCTCTGACTGTTTTGGGTTAGACAGACAAAGTAAAAATAAAGAGACTAAGGACAGGAGGGAAGGAGAGAGCAAACTGATTCATCATTTTTCACAATGGCATCTGAGGAGAGGGCAAATAGGAGAAACGGAAAGAAAAAGAAAGGCAGGACAGGGGGAAAGGAGTTGATAAAATGTTTCCTGCATAGTGTGATTGTATGTTACTCTGTAGGAGATAGAATCTTGTTCACAATTTGTGTCAGAGGATATTCACTTTTGAGGAATGTCAAATTGTGAGATAAATGCCTGGTGAATCTCGAATCGTGGCACTAAGTAAAAATGCAAGCAGACGCGTCATCAACTTGCATCATCCCTTTTTGCTACCTCTTGAACAGTGTTTTTAGCCATAGCAATGGCATTGTTGTCTTGTTTTTTAAGTTTACAGAAATGAAACTCACAATGGTTTGTCTGCCAGTGTATACTGCATACTCCGACTGGTTGGTTTGTTGACATTGGTCGTAGCAGAGGCCACACTGTGAGAACTGCCTGTTTGCTAAACCCCTTGCTGAACAATGATTGTCCAGTCATAGCTTTGTTTGCTATTGGCAAAGCAGGCTTGTTAAACTTTGGATTTCTCCACATGTTTAAGTGGTGTGTCTGAAACTGTACTAGGAACAGTACTATGCTTTTAAATAGTTTGGAGGGTACTTTCTAGTTTCTTAAAGCAAGAGCAAAAGTGTAAGGAATGGATTAAACAATGTCTTTTTTTGCTCCAACGTAAGATGCATGTCAGGCTTAATAGCCAACTTACCTGAGATAGTGATAGTGTTTGCCAAAACACATGGGTTAGTCCTCCTAAAAGCCTTCCTCCTTAAAAGTGAAAACAACTATGTAAGCTAATTAAGGCCTAGAAAGTTATGAGGTCTTGGATTTTTCTTTATAATACTAAAAATACTAGGACTAACTACGGTACAATACAAAACAATACTTTGTTGCTAATTTTAGCCTGTTTAGCTAGCTGGCTACAGTTGATAAAATCTGTCAGCCACAGTAGTCATTACAGCTTGCAAAGTTGCTGGTATAGATTTGCTACTTTTGTCTATCTGATATCAAGGACCCATGGTTTCTAAAACGTGTATGAATTTTGCGTGGTAAATCTGCCACCGTTATCTTTGTAAACAGTGAAAGTCTCCATGATTTTAATGCCATGCAGCTCTGTTCTGTCTTTACTGAAGATGAAGAAAAGAGGAAGGGCAGCGGTTGGATCAAAAGTTAGTCATACAGAGCAAGATTATTTAGTGCTTCTGTAAGATTTTCATACTGATCAGCTTCTCTCTGCCTTTCAAGAGCATCAGGGAGGAGAAAAAGTAGAAAAGAAAGAGTAAGAAGAGAAATAGGGAAAAAGAGGGGATTATTTCACATTTCTTTTTCAGGATATTTAGGGCACAGTGTGGGGGCGGATGGAGATAAAGGAAAGGTGGATGGGTGAGGAGAGAGGGATTAAAAAAGTGGGGGATTGATTGAAGGAGGAAGCGAAGGGCAAGAGGAAAGTTGTGAAGTCTAGGAGGACATCTGCTTGGAATTACACCTGTGAGACACACACACAAATACAAAAACACATAACATGGGTGGCAATTTCATATATAATCTGTGGCTGCTGATTTCTGTGGCGGCAGTTGCCAAGAATAAAACCACTATGAGATGCTTCTGCGTTGCTGTGTGTGTGTGTGTGTGTGTGTGTGTGTGTGTGTGTGTGTGTGTGTATGTGTGTGTGTACTCAGCAGCTTAAATGTCTTGCAGCCAAGGTCAGGCTCATGCTGCTTACACTCTCAAACACAGGAGTAAACGTTTCTGTCTCGTCTTCCTCTCTCAGGCCTCTTGTTTACCGTATCCAGTTCTCGTCTTTTTCAAATAACATTTCTTCTCGCTTGTTTCTCAATTTCTCCCTTTCCTAATTTCCCCTTCCTTTCTCCTCTCCCGTCCTCATATCGTCTTTTCTAAAGAATCCAGTAGCTGCTGCAAGTAGCCGGCAAAATGTGGGTCAAGTCTCAGCTCGCAGTTCGTCTCATAAAAGTTGAAGCAGGCTTGTGACCAGGTCACACAAGTTCCATCTCTCTGGACTGATATCTGTATGGGGGAATTATATTAGCAAGTGAAATTGTTGAGGGTGTCTGTGCTGTGTGTGTATGGCAAACCTTACCAAATTGAGAAAGTGGAGCTGAAAAGCAACTATTCAACGTTTTGGGAAATACATTTATTTGCTTTCTTGCAGAGAGTTTACATGAGAAAATTGTTATCACTGTTGTAGCTAGCCTGGCTCAGTCCAAAAGCAACAAAATCCACTAACCAGTAGGTCTAATGCCCACTACTACAATTAACATGTTTTATCTCGCTTGTTTGGACTATAACTTTTAAGTATGTGTTCTTTAAAGTTGATTTTGTAACTAGAGGCATGGTTCTTTCAAGAAATTACATTAATACTGTCAATAAAAAATATGCGTTTGCTAGCTTCCATGCTATGTACAATATAAAGATAGGAAAATCAGATCACCATGAAAAGCAAAGCAAAGCATCAAAGCAACAGTAACCAATGAAAACGTTTAGGCAGTGTAATTTTGATTTAAAAAAGTCAGATTAAAGCTCTCAATTTCAAGCTTTTATGTTTCTTCTTTTATGTTTTGAACTGTTACGGTGACAGTATGCTAATAGCAAAAAGCTTCTGTCATCAGAAGGACACAGAGCAGGAGACCCAGGCCAATTTTCAGAAACTGAGGAAAGTTGTAAGTTGTATAAATTATCAGTACAGATAAACCATTGTGTAAAGATCTCCTCAGTGAGCTGACATAGTCTATATCTGTACATGTGTTTCGGAATAGAACCATTTCCTGCTCACTTGTTAAATGCCACATTTTCTGAAATTGTGTCTAGAAAACTGTATATAGCAATACTGCCTACTACAGTTTACTGCCCTGCCATTCATTTTTACTTTATCATTGGATAAAGTTAAATGGAAAACATATCACGTTCATTATTCATTCCAAAACCGCCACAAATACAGCAATACGAGTGACCTTATCTCCACTTCATAATTATTTCCCCCTAAGAGATCGGAAACTCAGCAGCTTTGCTGTTTATACCTTATAAATATTCAGGCATGATAATGTAGAGGGGTTATTGGGATACTACAGGGAGTGTAGCACATATGGACTAAGATGTGCAGGTATATATTTATATGTTTGCGTGTGTGTGTGTGTTTGTGAAGGTGTAAATGTGTGTTGGCATAGAGGACAGCCACAGTTCAAGAATGTTCATTACAATCTTCAGCATTTTTCAAAGTTTTGATATCTGATCTATGCTGATGGTATCCTTAGACAAAAAAGTGTTTGTGTATGCGACTCACCCCATATGGTGGCAGTGTGACTGTATGTAAATACAAACTCTATAAAGTTGAAACAGAGAGGAAGGACGCCATCTGGCCCAAAGCTCATTTTATGCAACCACAAGGACAAGGACGAAACCGACACAAGAGAAAAGAAGACATAAAACCACAGGGTTTCATCCAAAATCAAAACGCCTCTGCAGACAAAAGACACACAGGACACAAAGCAACAGAAGCATTTTGGCATCATTACACAGTAATTTAGGAAGACGAGCATAAGCTGTTTTTCATTACACCTTTTCAATGTAATTTTAGGCAGTTAACCTGATGGATTTAGCTTTGCGTGTTACATTTCATGATCTCATCGAGGTTCCGTTTCTTACTCAAGGTCATTTTGGTCAAAGTTTCATTCAAAAACTGCTCTACTATGAATTGTCGGCAACACCCTTTTATCCAAGAAAGTTGTTCAGGGTCATTTGACAGAAAAGCTGTCCTCAGGATACTAACTGTCATATGTCGTAAATGATGCCCCTGTGTTTTCTCTGCTGACCTTGCAGAGTGAATTTACCCAGAGAAAACTAATGAAACCACACTCCACTGCACTACACCGCATGATACTGCACTATGTTGTATTACAGTGGGCTGTGTTGTATTATTCTAAACGGTCATATATCATATAGTCTATACAGTCCAATCATATCCACCGAGGCAGTGTGTATTTCCTGTTTAGCCTCACACAGACAGACAGTCACTGTAGGACACAGTGGGACTTCTTCAGGCTGCTAGTGTGCCCAAAACATTTAATAATTTTATTCCTAAATAAAAAAAAGGATTTTGATTTATCAGACCTACATAGGTCCACATTGTATTTCTATACACTTGCTGTTTCTCCAGCTGCATGGCATCATCTCATTTCATCCTGAATGAGCAAAAACAGCAACCCACAATAAGATGAAATGAGTTGAAAACAAATGAGCAACAAACTAACACCAACACTCTGTTACGACGCAATATTGTTTGATATAGATTTACAGATTTGAAAAACAAAAATACTGACACATTCTGACCACCGTGACTGTTACAAACTACAGGACGACTAGCTGATCCTGGAGTAGTGTAGTGGAACTGATCTCATTAGTGCCACTATGTAAAAAGACCATGGACGAAAGTATCACCTTTTCTTCCAGCTCTGGCAGTCCTTCATTCAATATTTTATAGTGTGAAACTGGTCAGATATTTGCTAAAATGCAAGTGTTTAGTGCACAAGCAGCAGATGTCCACCTACACAATGCGACACATTCCCACTTCCGGCGCAGACAGGAAGGCAAAAGACAAAACAACATAGTCAGAGCACTTCCTTGGTGCTGAAATGTGTGTGGTCAATAAAGAGGGAGAGGCTTTGAGCAGCGCTGTCCATGGTACTAAGACTTGGCTGTTAAACACACAGCATGCACAAACACATGATTGTGTTGGACATGTGGGCAACATTATGGATCAGGCTGACGAATGCACTTGCCTGCGTCTGCCCATGAGATACGAGTGTGTTTGTGTATGTGTGTTATTATCACTCTGGAGGCATGTCCACAGAGAAATCTTAGCAGCGGTATTGTGATCCAGATGTCTTCAGACACCGAGGCTCTGAAGGAACCAGCCTCCCACAAAAACTCAGGAACCCTTAAAATGACAAACCCCGAGTGATTGCTTGTTTGTGCATGTTGTTATGTGTGTTACTCTGTTTAATGTACTGTGTGAGTACTGTGTGTTTCTCTTTCTCAACACCTGTATTTAAAAAATGTAATGGTGTGTGCGTACATAGAATAGGTGTCTGTGTACAGGCTGCATCTGTGTGTCTATGTGTTGTGCATGTCTCTGGAAACTGTGTGTACGTCCGTGTGCATGTCTCGGGTATTCCAGTAATGATCAACCCTCCACTCAGTCTCTCCACATTGACGCATCAGTGTTGCTTTAAATGCCTGTTACCATGGAAACAGGCAGCCAGCATACAGGTCTCGTATACAGACAATGGTCTCTCTCTATTTCTCTCTCTCTCTCTGTTACTTTCTCTCTCTCTCTCCTCCCTTGCTGCTCTACCCATCGTTTACCCAATTTTCTCTCTCGCCACATCTTCCCATTCTGTCTGTGTCTTGCCTTGATTTTCATTCATTCATGTCAGTCTTCCCTCTCCAAGGTTTCCGCCTCCATTCTTACTCTCCCTCTTTTCATTCAGTCCGACATTTTTACCTCTCCTTTAATTCATTCATGTCAACCTTACCGCCATGCTCTCACATCTCTGTCTCTCTCTCCACTTGTCATGTCATCCTCTTCGCCTCTTTCCCGTCATCCATCTCTGTCTACCTGTGCTTCATCTTGTTTAATTTCTGCTGTCTTTTTCTTCTCTTTCTGTCCATCTTTTCTTCCCTTTAAGCTCTGTGTGTGGATAGAGTGCTCTAACACTCGCAAACACACACAAATGCTCGCAGAGGTACTCACCATGTCACACAATTAGAACACCGATCTACTTGTTTTTGCATACGAATAATACTCTATATTCTCCTTCAGGTTTACTTTGTGCAAAATTATAATTTCTCACAAAGACATTTAGTGTCAACCAGGAATGACTCATCCTTTATCTGCTGCCAAGTGGACATACAATTTAATCCTCCAAATATGTGAACAATGCTGCCAGCATCACAGATGTTTATCTACACATTTGCATTGGTAAAGGTAATTGCGAGATGATTGTACAGATACACAGCAATTTACTAAAATATGCACCTGTGGCACATACAAGACAGACTTAGACACCTATTTAACACCATGGCCTTACCTTGCCAAAGCTTCCCTTGCCCAGCACCATCAGGAAGTTAAAGTCAGCCAGCTTCATGCGATCTTGGTTGCCATTGGAGTCGAACCGGGATGCAGCATTGGCTGACTTGCCCTCTGTGTTCTTGCCTGGACCAATCTTAGCCCTCTACATGACAGAAAGTGAAAACAGAGGACAACATTAGACATAACCTCAAACATTCAAAAAGACCACAGGCTGTAAGTGGACTAATAGGGGGTTGAAATGGCACATTACTCAATATATTTATGCATAATAAAAAAAAAAAGTAGGGCCTTTCAACAGCATTTGTCTTCTTGGTGCTTGGTTTGTAACCAGGAACCAAGGTGCTATTTGTAGCATTTTCAGGTCATCCAAGATCACTGCCAGCAGTCCAATAAACAAAAGCAATTCCAATTTTTTTTTTTTATATTTAAACTTTTCAAACATCAAAGTTGAAACAAAATAAGAAAGAAAAGAAAATTCACAGCCAGCCACATTTTAATAATTTATTAAGTAAATAAATTGCACAGTGCAAAAACAAAATGAATAAATAAAAAAAACATAAAAAACTGTGAAATGTCCCCTAAATGTTTGGAGCTTCTTTTTCAAAGTTTGGGGTGTTTTAAGATCACAGAGAAACAATTTCTGTTAGCGAGTGGAAGTGATGAATATGTTAAAGAGTGAAAGTTTTTAGCCTTTTGGTTCATTCTATTTCATTTATTCTGTGCAGGCACTTTACACTCCAGTTCACACTTTCCATAACAAATATGGCCTCCCTGTGAATGTCACTCTGTTAAATCTGTCACCACTTCCCTTGTTTCTGTCCTTCAACCACTCTCTCCCACACAATCTTAAAGTCTTTCTTTCTTTCTCTCTAAAATTCATTTCTACTCCATCTTTATACATGGCCCTTGTCTGTCTCCTCTATTCACTCTCTTTCATTTCCAACTCTCTCTCAGCTCATTCGTCTTTGCCTTGACCTTGTCGCGCTCTCTTGTCCAGTCTGTCATAAGAAACTATTATAATCTTATAATCTAATCTGATCCTAATCTTATTCTCCACTTTGTAAAGACATTGCTTCAATTTAAGAACGGCCTAGATGAATTTATTTTATCCTATCTTATCAGAAATTGCTGATCCACGCTGAGGCTCTCGGAGCTTCTTCTGTCCTGAGCAATAATTTCTCTGCTGCCGTCTCTTGAAAATTGTGAAGCATCCAAGTACTCTGCTGCTCCCTGCAATGTTTGTTGTGTGTGTGTGTGTGTGTGTGTGAGAGAAATAGTGGGGCAACCCATACGGTTCTCGACTCATCAATGGATAAAAGGCTCTATCTGTCTCCATCTGTTCTGACACACACACACACACACACACACACACACACACACACACACACACACACACACACACACACACAGAGGAGCAGTCGAGGTATTTGTGAGCAGCAGAGCATGCTAAAGGAAACACTCTCAAAGCCTTCAGAGATGAATGATGCTTGCATTGTTTGTCTCTGTCTACAGCCATAAGTCCAAGTATCTTTGTGCACATTACAAATGGCAAAAAAAAAAGGATGAATAGCAGAAGCAAAATCGCATACATTTTCTTTAGAATCCACCAACACCAACTTAAGGTGTTTTTTGTTTATGTGGATAAATATTATGTATGCATTTAAGTAGTGATGGAAATGCATCCGTACATTAAATTATGATGTAGCAAACCATCACTTGTCTCATCCTAGTTACTGTCCAAATGCAGCCTCATTGTAGCAACCTGTACTGACATTTAAGAACGGTGACAGCTTGACTATTTAAAAACTATTCTGAAGAACCTTCACCCAATTTCCTCTATGAAAATCACTTGTTTTTACTTTACTGACACAATGTCAATAAATCTCCCGCTGCCTTTACATCTGTCTGTACTCTCTCATTCAATGCCACCATCCACCTTGCATAAGAATGAACAAATAAAGACAAAGTGAAGTGGGGGAGCAGTGAGGGGGGACATGGGGAGAGAAAAAGGGCAAGAAATAGTGAAGTAAATAATACATAAACTGTTTTTGTATATGTTTTGGCAACATGTCTTTGAATCAAAACTTGCCAATAAAGCTGCATTAAACTGAACTGAGATACAGAAATGTGTCTCAGCTCCAAATGAATAATGTTTTAAGCTTGACTGGGTCTCTATGTGTGTGGGTGTGCATACATACGACATATATTATTCATTACTGGGACTGTCTTGTGTGATTCTGGATGGGGTGAATGAAGGTCTGCAGGTTATGTTACCAAAGTGAAATCTCTCTCTGTCTGTCTCTCTGTCTTTATTTCTCCCTGCCATCTCTTTGAGAGCTTCATCCTAGACAATGCTTGTGTGTGTGCATCTGTGTGTGCATGTGAGTGTTTGTGATAGCTAGCCCCCCGAGAATGTGTCTCAGCGAACTGAGGACCATGACCTTGAGGAGATCGAGGGACATGAAAACAGATAAAGAGAGAGAAGCACACAGGGGGTCACTGAAGGTGACAAACTAGATAAGTGAAGGAGAGAAGAGGAAACAAAATGAAGACAGGGAGGAGGAGGAAGGCAGAAAAATAGAGGATAGAAGACTGCAATACCTCCTCATACAGCCAACAACCAGACTCTAACATTTACATTACATTTACTCATAACCAAAGCGACTTACATTTGAGGAACAACATACAAGCATCAATAAAGTAAGAGATCTATGAGTAACAAGACGTACGGGTAAGAGTGAGTAAGAGCTATTACCTAAATACACTATTAACAATAAAAATCTTCTTATTTCACAGCACTTTTCTACTAATTATTAACTAGAATCTGGTCAACATTTGACACACCAGAAATAAAACTGTAATAAATAAAACTTCAGGAGAAAGCAAGAATAACAAAACCCGAAAATCAATAAGGTTCGAGCTTATCGATACAAAATTTTAAATACTTAATTTGAACAACATAGGCTGCATTTAAATTTGAAATGCAATGGATAAGAAAATCATCAGGCTGCAGTCTCTGCCTGCTCTCTGTCGGCTCCTACACACACACACACACACACACACGCACGCACACACACACACACACACACACACACACACACACACACACACACACACACACACACACACACACACACACACACGCCTTCACGGTGGAAGACGGTGAGGGTTAAGCTAAGTTAGCTCCCAACTACTGTAACGTTAGTTGATGACGCTCGTTACTGTAAGTACGTGCAATAAAACCTCTGCAAGTAAAATGACAATAGTTAATCAATACACCTGTCTGTAAGGTAACGTTAAACATGTAGAAATGGTTAATTTAATCATCTCTGTCCTCAGTATCTCATCCTGTATGTTTTATACAAGCACAGCTAACGCTAGCTTGGCATTAGTCAAATGTTAAAAACAAGCTAAATAGAAAGCTGTCTGTCTGGAGCACAGACTGGTCTGTAGTCTTAAAAGCGAGAGAGGAGGGACTGATACAGACTGATATTCTTTCTAAACCTCACTCACTACTTGTGATGTCAGATAAAGTTATTGAGTTACTTTGCTGTTGTAAACATTAATGTTGCTGCTCTAGAAACAACATTTAGCTGTATTTAAAATATTAAATTAAAAACAACCAGGCAGTTAACATGTACACTTCAATATATGTTAATTTATTGCAAGTGATATGTCATCTCAATATATAACGTTATTGGACATTGAATATTTTCCTCATCCCGTGCAGGCCTACCTCACACCCGTTGGGTCTGGTCTTACCTAATAACCATCACTAAATAATAGTAATGTATCGATAGTGGTATCGATAAAGAATCGGATCGTTAAGCAATCTCAATAAGGGTATCAATATCAATAAAAATTAATGATCCCCATCCCTAGTCACATAAAAGCAACATCTTGCACCAGAAAATTCTGAAAATGGAATTACAACTTTTATCTGCCTAAATCATCACATGGGCCTGTAGCAAGCAGAGGAACTAGTTTCATCCTCAGTCAGCTACAATCACAAGGGAAAAATCTTCAATCAAAACCTTAGAGGTAAGTGTTTCCTAAACAACAAATAGTTAATTCACAGAAAACTGGACACCTACACTGCAACACTCGCTGAAGAAGATGTAATTATGGTCTGAGATTTAGGTCGAAGGCCAATTAGTAACACTCGCTGCCATGTGGGTCGACCAACATGTGGAACTGTAGCTGTATGTGATGATGTGGATTTATGTTTATGATGTTTGTGTTTGTTAAGATGGTCACTGTGTCCAATTAGGTATAGTCACAAATTCCTGCGGTAACTTGGTCGAGAGATGTGACAGACAACACATTGATCCCCGACCAATGATAGCTTGCCATCTTTCAAGGCCTGCATGATGTCATCAGGAAGGAGGTACTAGAGGCCGACTTTCAGAAACAGGAATGAAAACAAACAATGGCGTCCAAAGCTGTGCGCCTGATAATGGCTGTCAAGACCAAAACAACATTGACTTTCCTTCTGTTTGACAGTTCCACTTAGCAGCACCAACGACATCATTTCTCTATCGATTCGCCATGTTTACATCTGTGCATGGGCCCAATGTCACAGAACACGTCGTGGAATTTATCATACAAGGCGAGTGAAGGCAAAATAAAAAAAATTTAAAAATCAGAAAACTCAGACACGCTACTCTGTCTGGACGTCATGAGGTGTCCCAGATGTGGCATCGGTTATTGTCCACTATGATAAAATGATTAATTTATCTGACATTTTCTGTCTCCTTTCCAGGTTGCCTTTTTGCGTTCATTGGAACAGTGAAGATGAGTCATCCTTCTCTAAAGGTTCCTGTCACAGGCCATCTCCTCCCAGTTGTTGAGGTGAAAGTGGCATTTCCTCAGGTGGGATATGAGTTTATCCTAGTAAAGCTTGTCCCCCTTGAGTGCGCTTCCCCTCCCCATAGAGTGCCTGTTTCGGGAGATGGGAATTTGGCATACTGAAAATATGGCCTGTCCATCGCAGTTGGTGTCAAGTGATAGTTGTGGAGATACTCGGTAGGTTGGCTTACTCCACTTTTTTATGCACTTTGGTTTATGTACGGATTAAACGAGATCCAACATGTTTATCAGATTTACAGATGCTGCTAGGCAGAGGCAGGCTTGCTGTTCCCCTCTGTGTCCAGTCTTTGTGCTAAGCTAAAATAACTGATCCTCTAACTACAACTAAAGCTAAGGCAGGGACAGGTGAGAAAACAAAAGCCTTTCCACTGAACTCTGTGATCAACACATCTCTAAATGACTCTGATGTTTGTAGCTTAGTGTCAGCGAGACAGAAGGAGAAACGGAAAAGAGAAGAAAAAAAGAGGAAAAGCACAGAGCGGGTTTATCCTCTCCACTGCCAAATGTGTTAATGAGTGTGCCTAGTGGTCAGCCACACACACACACTTCTGGACCTGCAGTGTGCCAGACCGGATGGTACTATAAGTGTGGCTGCCAACTGCTAACAGCTCTCCCAGGGAGGCTCTCACTCAGACACACACAGATAGATAGTGTGCGCACACACACACAGACATTCACAAGCATACCATACCAACACACACAGGCACACAGTTGCAAATGCTTCCGCATAAAAACACAAACAGACTAAAAGGTAAAAATGCACACACACACCTCAAATTTCTGCCGTAGCTCCTCGTTGCCCTCCTCCCCCTCCGGAGCAACGGGAACATTGAAGTACTCGCCTTCTTCCTGAGAGAGCAGCTTGAACCTGAAGAGAGAGAATATTTCCAGCCAAATCAATTCCCAATTAGTTTATACAATGTGTGTGTTTAACTGCTGCTATTAGCTGAAGCTGTCGACTTTGTTAGTGCACTAATTTAAAATCCTAAAGAATAAGCTGATTATTTAGTAATTCACTCTCCTTCATGGTGATCTAGCAAAGCCTGACAGAGATGGGCCTAAAAGACAGTTGAGACGCTTATCATTTAACAAAATCAATAGAATACAATTTTTCATATTGGCCCCATAACAACCAATGCCACAACCTCATACTTCACAGCATCACCATATTTGTAGAAAATGACATTGGGATGAGTGTTTATGCTTTCGTGACACAGATGATGCTGATGCTGATACGATTTTCCTTTTTTTCAGGTTTCCGCCTTCTCAGTAAATGTGGGTGCTGTTACCATTTCTATCTGCAACATTCCCATTTTATTCTTTCCACTTAGACTTGTTTGCTGTTAAATCAGTCATCACTGTATGTGTGCAGTACCGTCAACAGTTGTTGAAATTGTTTTAGGCTGCTGCTATTGACAATCTACCAACCTGAGATTAAGTTTAACCTGAATCAATCAGACATTTTGACTCTCAAGAGTTACTGTCTGCAGATTTTGTCAAGTATGTTCATTTTTGTGAACCTTGTGGTCCTGCCCACTGCGCATTTTGGTAATTTCAAGGCCAGGCTTGTGGAACATCTGTGACACACCTGGATATGAGGTGGGATCTAAAAGCATATTATCATATATTATAGGTGGGTGTGATAGATGCTGTGATCATGGCCAGTCAAATTCACTATTTTCATCTCCTTTAAACGCAGGGCTCTCACAGGCATGATGCATTGTTTGGGAATCATCACAGTACCTAAAATATACTGCCAAGAGTAGTAGGAAGGCATGTGATTCATTGTTATGTACAAGTATGTGATGTATGAATAATGTATAAATATTGGTTCAGATGCGTTTGCACAGTGGAAAGGAAGGTGATCAAACACAGGTTGCTATTTTTCTTTTAGAGGAGTGATATATTTTTCAGAAAATTAAGATGAATTACTCTTATATTGTAACAAACACTCATATTGTCTCATATTGTGTTTGGATAGTGATGGAGTTACTCAGTTTATGTTAGCTACAAATTACTTATAAATTATATAAAATTAACAACAAAACTTGCAGTCCAGTAATGAAATCATATTCTAATATTTCACAAATTGTGTGAAGAAGTAGTTTTTCAGTCAAATACATTTTTGTTAAGCTAGATAACCCCATTACCACACGTCACATCTCGGCTGTTCATGTCACTCTCACTCTGTTCCTCCTCCTGGCTGCTGGTGCCAGCAGGTGTGAGGCTTTGGAGCAAGTGGGAAAACACACACTTAGCACAGGTTCTCTCTGTTCTGAATATCAGCTTTTTAATGCCATCACTCCACCTCCACCATTCCGCCTCAAACGCCGGCATCTTATTAAAAACCCTGACAGGGCAGCATCAGCAAAAAGAGAGGAAGATAGAGCGATACAGAGACTGAGCGAAAGAGAGAGAGAGGGAGGGAGGGTGCCGGAGAGATAAAGGAGAGGAGATAAAGACACAGGATAGAGATGATTTGGCACCGAGTATCACCAGAATAAAAAAGAGGAGGTCTAACTTGTATTCCAAGTATTTCTCCAACAGTGCAGTAATGAAAAAGGTCACCTTCACTCTCCCTTCTCCTCTACCTGTGCTGTTTCTATGCCTCGCCCCCCCCAATTCATCCATCCTTCCCTCCTTTCATCTTACCATCCATCCACTCCTTGTTTCTGGAGCTCCGAGATGCCGAAGGACAGCGATCCCATGAAGTCGTTGCGGCTGGTCAGGTCCCAGTCCCACACCTCCACCGACAGACGGCGGTCCTTATCGTACTCCTTTAGGTGGCTGGGAGAGAAACAAGGACAACTAACAGTATGATGATGACTGACAAAGATACCTGTAGGTCTTCTAATATTTGGACCCTTTCCCCTTAAGTTTGTAACTTTTAAAGTCTTGGATTTATAATTTCCATTCTTATCCTGCCATTAAAATTTGTGGCCTCCATTTCTTCAGGTAACAGTCATCTCATTTTTCAAATACAAAAAAATATAGTAGGAGCTGTCTGTAACCCGGGCCTGTGTGTTACATTTAGGATCCATTCAGACCTCACAAGCTTAAAGCAGTCTATTAAATCTCTTCTATTATCTCTTATATTGATATGTTGGATAGGTGCTGAACATCTGCAACCAGATGCCTGAAAAGGCAAATCTCAGCCTTCTTCCATGTGGCTTATTAAGAATGTAATTGCAGCCAACTGCAGGAAACGACCCCAAAAGCAAGGTTTTCTGAATATAAGGAGCCAGATGTTTTTATCTGAGCGCCAGCGGTTACACATGCTTGGAAAGCTGAGCATAATGTGATGCTCTTAACACGCTGCACTGAGTGACTGAGAGAGATGAAAAAGAGGAAACAGAGATAAAATGGAAAAAGACTTAATGACGGAAAGGGAATACAGACAGAAATATAAATACAACAAGAGCCTTACAATTTAAAGGTCTCATTCCAGGTGGGGTTGAGGCAGCACTTTATGGTCTTGGTCTTCTGTTTACTCTCACTGCGGGGATCTGGGATCAGTTTAAGCTTCACATATGGGTCTGACAGACCGTTTGGATCCATAGGAACCAGATTCCTGCCCTCTTTGACTGGGGGGAGAGAAAGGGAGGAAAAAAAACAGGAAAGTAAGGGGGAGGGTGGAGATAAGAAAAGAGAGGGAGAAAGTGACAGAGAAGAAAAATAAAAATCAAATTGATTTAAAGTAAGCATCATTATCAATGACATTTTGTGGACAGAGATGGGAAATGGTTTGTGTGAGTGCAGAGCTCAACTTTTAGGATTTCATATCAAACTATGTATTTAAAAATGTCCTACAAGAAAAATAAAAGACACAGTATTATAAATAAGATATAACATTTTCCTTGTATCCATATTGTGAGACAAACAGATCAAACAAGGGAGAGGGACAGAGAATCCAATAGATTTACAATAAAATATACCAAATATATATCAAATGTAATGAAATGTAACCTTATTAATCACTTACATAAAAAAAAAAATAAAGGCAACCCACCTTCAAAGTAATGAAAATATGTAACACATTTTCTGTACAAATTTAAACTTCAGCTTGGTTATTGTGTAGATCATTACCTTTTTAGTTTTATTCACTTACATTTTTACATACCGGTATGGACTCTCCTCTCCATTTGGTGAGCCATTTTCCTTAAAAGCTACAGTATAAGAGGAGTAAAATAACTGTACTCTACTGGACTATTTAGCGACTCTGATTCATGAGTGGAAATGGCAGGTGGGTTCAAATGCACCCTCATTGTACTTGTATTGCACATGATCTGGAGCAATTGTGCCGTTAAATGAATCCTCATTTAGTCCCTGTCAGAAGCCGCCAGTAACTTATCAATGACATCACAATTAATTTTAACCCATATTTAGCAGTTTGGCAGGTGTTAACCTTCAAGCCTCATGTTTATATGAGTGAGCTGAATTTTGAGAGTACTTCTTGTCAGTAATCTACTTAACAACCAAACTCCCCCCTGAAACTAACAAATTAAATTAGGCATGGTAAACTTGTGGCAGTGGAAAACAAACACAAGCACACACACACACACACACACACACACTAAGAACCCCTAGAGTTGTATTGGGGGTTAAAGCCTTGAGGTTGCCAGATCTGTCTGTAATGACCATGTAGACCGATGAAGGTTGCCAGTTCCAATACTAATCCTTCTTTTGTGGCCGTCTGTTATTGGGCTGTAATTGTATTCCGGTGGCGTAAAATCCCCTGCGATTGGAGTGTGTGTGTGTGTGTGTGTGTGTGTGTGTGACAGCAATTATTGTTTCTGGTCAAGTTGCGAGGTCACATCCAATTACCAGAAGCGGGCTGGTGTTGCTGTGTCTTAGGCAGCTCACTAGGGACGCACTCAAGAACACACAAAACACACACAGAAGAACCTTTCCCACCCCACACTAGGGCTGAACAATTTTAGAAAATAATCTAACTGCAATTTTCTTGCGATTGCGATTTAAAATGTGATTAATTTTTAAGCTCTTTACCTTCTGTATTATTCAAAACGGACAAGCAGTAAATCAGTGTATAGTATGACCAACACAATATTAGATAGATTAAACATACACTGTTCTTTCTTGTGGGTCAGGCCTGTGTTATGATGAAATTAGGTGATTCATGAATTATTATTATGAGCGATGATGGAGAAGAAGTATCAAATTTTAATAATATGAGAAAGATAATTTGAGTCAAGTCATGGCATTAAATAATATGACATAATATCAGGTAGGCCTACATACAGAACACAAGAAAAACACAGTTCACCACAGTGTGTTGTACAGTAAGAGCTCAATACAAAACCCACAGTTCAACCACCAATTAATGAGTCTATCTCAGTTCAAATCTCCTAGGAGTCCATCTTTCTATATCCCAGTAAGCAAACAAAAAATAGTTTGAGGTTCCATTCAAAAGTTGGCCAATGAAAATTACACGAAGTGACGCCTCTCGTGTTTAATAGTAATTCTCCGACAACACCGGAGTTCCCCTGCAGCCTCCGATGCTGGTGAGCAGCGCACTGGCTGTAACTCGGGACAGAGTGGGCCTCTTTCGGACTTGTGCGACTGGTGGCTGTGTGTACTTCGGCTATCGATACCGAGCGCTACAATACACTTACCTAACTACACGTGTCTTTCTGTTGTGCATTTTTCCTGTCCGTCAAAGCGACAGATAGCACGACAATTTCACTCACCACCACCAAGTTACCTGCGGGTGACGGGTGCTACTTTCATTCCCTGTATGACACTAAAGTTTCAGTAGTGTCATCTTCTGTCAAGCTTAAGGCCATTGTAACAAGTCATGGTACAGCGTAACGTGCAAATTTACGCTTCCTCTGCAGACTGGTTTACTCTTGGGTATCATGTGATCAGAGTGTAATTGCAGCCTTTGCGATTAGAAAATCACGTTTTATTACATCGGAATAATATCAGCTCTAATCCACAACTTTATTACAAACAAACCAGGCTTTATACACACGAACTGATATATTTCTCGTTCGTTGGACCATTTTGTGACTAGCAGTCCTGATTGAGACCTGACCAGAGCCGGCGTCAGACTGAGCTCAGCAGGAGGGCATTTATTTTCAATGGGTGGGCACTAGTGATGGGGAATTTATTTTCAGATATCCTATAGTTAGGCTAGTTATTATTGCTGCCGTTTCTGTAAGTGAATTGCCTGAAGTGATGCAAACCAACTCCTCCTAAACCGACTTTATTATAAACAAAGTTAACAGCACACATGTAGTTTAACTGCTATCTCACTGACAGGAGAGCATTTTATTTCTAGTTCGCTCATAAGCGTTTACACCATGTAGGCCTACCATTATCAAAATAATATCAAACACATAGGCTACACAGAGATGATTCTACAATCTCCATTTTCAAAAATAAATAAAACAGCTGTTTCTCCACGGCGGGAGGGACATTTCAGGACATTGGACAGCGCACAACTGAAAAAAACGAACTAAATAGCCTACTAAATTGATTGAAGTCTCATCACAACACAACAATGCACAATAGTGCACTTTGACAGTAGGCTACATAATACTAGTTACAGAAATACACTAACAACCGGCCTACATGAAACTTTAAATTGAACTCACAATTAGAAGAGCCGAAGACGCCGCTTGTGAGCTGATTGGAATTTCTTCTGAACTAGTCTGGCGTGAAGCTGAGAACACATTTTTGAGAGAGGAAAACAAATTTTCGCAAGTCGCGGTAGAAGCACCAAATACCAAGGCCAGTTGGAGTGCCGTCAGTACAGTGGGCCTAGCGTTTTGTGATGTTTGGACAACGTTGTCAGCGTCGCAGAGCCACGAACTAGCAGGTTGTGGCGAATTCTGCCTGCCTGCCGAGAATTGCATGGACCTCGCGGGTGGTAACGCTAATTCATGCTGAGAGGTGGGTGCAAATCTCGGCAGGTAGCCTACAACATCTGCTCTGCCGAATTATGCGGTTATCACCACATATTTTTGCTGAATCATGCTACTTCTACTAAGTGTAGGCTAATAAATTATTAACGACTCTAAATGTTCATAAAATATATAGGCTACTTCATTTCGTTGATCATCTTTGATGTACCCCACAAAGGATATTATTGCGTTTAAAAGCAAGTTTTTGGAAGTGCAGGCAATTCTCCGCAAGCATGCAAAACTCGTCATAACACCGGGCTGTCTTTATCTTACTGTATGGGGCCAGCAGACTCGTTTATGGACTTGTGGATGTAGTAGAACTTACAGTCATTTGAGATTCAGAGTTAGGGTTTATTAGGGTTTGGAACCATTTTCTAATGTCCATTTTGGAGCATTGTGAGCTACTTGCTTTGTTTTTATATGTGCACTGCCACCAGGAATCTCCCGCTAACTCAAAATGCACCTAGGCCTACTAACGTACGTTGGGAGGGGGGAAGCAGGGGGGTTTCCTCACAGAGCCACACTTTGAATTTTATGTTAGCTTTAATATGTTTTCAACTAATAAACTGTTTGTAAATGTATATTTTTTATTATTCCTCACTGAAATGTGAATATCACAACTCTATTTGGGGGGGCATAAAAGACTTTTGGGGGGGCATTGCCCCCTAATGCCCCCCATACCACCGACTCCAGACCTGACCCTGGATAGGTTCATTTTAGATCAGATCTCTACTTGTCACCCAGCATCATTAGCACAACACAGACAACAAAAATAATTATGGTGGGTGATAGCAAGAATAAACAGTTTCAGTATTAGATGAGACTGCAAGTGGACTTAATTTCACAGATGACAAAGACGGCTGCCTGAAACAGAGAGAATGGCTGAGACAACATCTTGTGTACAGCAGATCTTGTGCTTCTTGTATTGTCACCACAAATGAACCTGAAAGTTCACCTGAAAGTGAGACTTCATGCTGTCACCACCTAATGTGATTCGTAAAACATGGGTCAAACAGCTGCTCCTAATAAAAAACTGAAGCACGCTTTTATACTAGAACTCAAAATGTTTTTTACAATTAACGATTGAGATGCAAAGCCCTCAGAGCTGCGGGAAACGTGCGGCATCCTATCTCACCATGACGTAAAGGAGAGCTTCGAAGTGAGTTCACAGCGTGAGAAAACTTCAAGAAGTAGGGGAAATTAGGTTTTCATGCTGTTAAAGCGCTATGCTACGCTAAGCTTCGGGAGGTTAACCACAGCACAGACCAAACGGCCAGCATTAAACCCTCAGCGGAGCAGGTCAATAAATATTAGATGATGCCTGCTAAAGTGACCATCAAATGCTGGTTGAGGAGGGCTATAAAGAGGGTAGCATGCCAAATAGTCTCATAGGACACTCACAGTAAATAGAGGAGGGTGTGTGTGTGTGTTTGTGTGTTTGTGTGTGTGAGTGAATGGATCTGTTTGTGCATGCACAGGTGTGCGCTGTACATGTGACTGTGTATGCATGTGTGGCATTCTTGTTTGCATTCAGTTTGTGCTGATTGCAAAGAGCATGCATGGGTCTGTGCACAGATGTGTGTCTGTGTGTGTGTGTGTGAGAGAGAGAGATAACATGTATTTGAGTCTACAGGGAGGGTGAGTGGAGATAAGAGTGC